GGACATAGATATACTTATTTTAAAATTGAAGAGATAAACACAGTTTTGCTAACACAATTTTAAAAAACAAAAATAAAGTGAGAGAAATCACTCTACCCAATGTTAAAGGTGACTACAGGGTATCAGCACAGGGATATTCATATTCATCAACGGGTCAGATTAGAGAATCCATAAGGAGATCTACACAAATATACTGAGCCAGTTTTTAAGCTTTTATTTTTTAATGTAGTAATATTGTGAAGAGGGCACCTTGGGGTTCTCTCCTCAAGTGAATGTCTTTGAAGTGAATTCACACTTTTGCACCTTTCAGCCTGCAATGGGTGGGGTATCCTGATTCCTGAAATATGGTCAAAGTATCTTTCCTATTTTCCTGGTGCAAAGTACTTGGCTTCTTTTTAATACCACTCATCTCTACATGCTGCTTTGCTGCATCTTTAAACACACTTCTTTTCTTGCAAACTTTGAATTTTTCAAATCTTTCCGTTCTGACTTTTGCCCCTAATTTTCACTGTAAATTTCCAACCTGTAGCCTGAACTATGTGTTGCCTTAACTTGTCTATCACCTTTAAATTGGTCCTCTTACAAAGTCTCAGGGCATGGACCAAAAAAAAAAAAAAAAAAATCAAAATTCTTTGCCACATGTAATATAGACAGCCTGTAATTCAATTGCCAATACAATCCTCATTCCTATGTGAAACCTACTCGTGTTGGCCTTTATTATCTGCATTTCTATCAACGGTTTGGTCTTTTGAGCCCTTACCAGAATTGTCCATTAAACTTTTCTTATAGCACTCTAGACTTCTCTACCTTTTCCCTCAAACTTCCAAACTCCTTATGCAAATCAACTGCAAAGTCTTTCCCACATTTTCTAAGGTGCAGTCACAGCAATGGCCATATTTTTCAGTACCAAATTTTTGTGTTAGCTTTCTGTCACTGTGACAAAAATACCTTAGATGATCAATTTAAAGTGAATTCTTTTTTGTTTATTTGTTATGGGGATTGGACCAAAGGGCACTTTACCCCTGAGTTACATGCCCAGTCCTTTTTATCTTATTTTTTTTTTTAAGTTTTGAGACAGGGTCTTACTAAATTGCCAAGGTTGGTCTCAAACTTGCAATCCTCCTGCTTCAGTCTCCTGAACTGTTGAAATTACAGACATGCATCATCGTGCCCAGTGATAAGCAAATAAAGGAGAGAAAAAGATCGATTTCAGTTCATGGTTTCTGAGGCTTCAGCTTGTCTTTGTGCTTTGGGTCTGTGGCGTCACAGTGTATCACAGTGAGGACCTGACAGAGTCCTGCTCATCTCATGGTGGATGGGAAGCAAAGAGAGAAAGAAAGGGACCAAGATCCCTGTACCCCTTTAAGGCATGTCTCTAATATTCTAATATCTTCCCACCAGACCCCATCTCTGAAAGGTATCACTGCCTCCCGATAGTGTCACAGTTGGGGACCAAGCATTTAACACAAGGGCCTTTGGAGTACGTTCATGATCCAGGCTATAGCAGGTAAAATTAACATCTTAACAACATTAATTCTTCCAACTGATAAACATAAAATGTCTTTACATTTATTTATGCTTTCTTCAATTTCTTTCAGCAATATTTTTTTAGTTTTCATATATGTGTCTTGATTAAGTTTTTTCCCAAGTATTTCATTTTACTTTTTATTATAAATGGGATTGTTACCTTAATTTCCTTTTTGAATTGTTCGATGTCAGTGTATAGAAACACAGCTGATTTTTGTATTTTGACTTTGTATTTTGCAACTTTGCTGAATTCATTTATTAGTTCTAATATCTTGTGTGAAATATTTAAGTTTTCTACATATACAAGCATATCATATGTTAATAGAGATAATTTTACTTCTTTTTAAATATTTGAATGCATTTTGTTTCCTTTTCTTGCCTAATTGCTCAAGTTAGAACTTCCAATACTATGTTGAATAGAAGTAGTTAGCATGGGCATCCTTGTCTTGGTTCTGATCTTAGAAGGTTTTCAGTGTTTTACCATTGACTACAATGTTAGCTGGGGGATTTTTACATGTGGCCTTTATTATTCTGAGGTAGTTTCTTTCTCTTCCTAATTTGTTAAGTGTTTTATCAAATAAGGGGTGTCAAATTGTGTTGAAATGCTTTTTCAGCATCAACTGAAGTAATCGTGATTTTCCATCTTTAATTATGTTAATGTAGGGTGTTATATTGGTTGATTTTTTGCATGTGAAAACATTCTTGCATTCCAGAAATAAATCTGTTGGGGAAGGCCAGTTAGGCTTCCTTGCAGAGGCTTCCAGCAGGCTATGTTATGTTTTATGTTATGTTTTTATCATGCAGACAAGGCCATGATTAGTGTGTAGTCAAGGTCAGAAACACTCTGATTCAGTGTGCATACTCAAGGTCACAAACATTTGCTTGTGAGCATGTGAGCACTGGTGTAAGCTGTTGGCAGTGTGCCTTCTTTGTTTAGACTGTATTCAAAAGTGGGCTAAATGGAACTGATGGGAGCAAAATGGAACTGGGTGGGTCTAAAGCTGAAACTGGCTGAGGCTGTTTCCACCTCTGAATAAAGGCTGACTCAACCATGTCTTGCATCTTCTTTCACCTGCCAGGATTCCAAATGTTTCCTGGGTCTGAGCCCTTGCATAACAAAATCTCTCTGGTTTTAGAATAGGATAAATTTAATATGCTCTTGAATTTGAGTTGTTAGTATTTTGTTTATGATTTTTCATTAACATTCATCAAGAACATTGGTCTATAGTTTTCTTATAGTGTGTTTTGCATTGCTCTTAGGGTAATTCTGACCTTGTAGAATGAGTCCTCTTCAAGTTTTAGATAAGCTGAGAAAATGATGTTACCTCTTTGAGTGATTGGAAGAACTTTTTAGTGAAGCTATCTACTGCTGCACTTTGTTGGGTGGGGGGGTTAATTATTGAGTCAATCTCTCCTTATTACTTGTAAGTCTCTTCATATTTTTTCTATTTCTCTATTATTTTCCCAACTGACTTCTGACAAAGGTGCAAAAGTGATTTAATTGAGGAGGGAGAGCCTTTTCATCAAATGTCACTAAAGCAATTGGACATCCATAGGCAAAAGAAAGACAAGCAAAACCTCACATCTTATACTGCAAATGGACCATGAAATTAAATATGACATACAGAGCTTTTAAAAAATATATACAGGAAAATATTTGGAACCTAAAGCTAGAAAAAACTTTTTTTTTTTTAATATGATGCTACAAGATGCTACAAGCATACGAGGAAAAACTAGATAAACTGGACCTAATCAAAATTAAAAATGTTTATTCTGTGAAAGACCCTGTTAAGACAATGAGGTAACAAGTTGCAGACTGAAAGAAAATACTTGCAAATTATATACCTGGCAAAGAAATAATAATTAGAATATGTGAAAACGTTTCATAATAGTAAAACAACAACAAAAAAAACAACCCTAATGATATAATTATAAAATGGACAGAAGATATGGGGACACATTTCCAAAATATATACATAAATGGCAAATAAATACATAAAAAGATATTCAACATCAATAGCCGGTAAGAAAATCTAATTTTAATCTAAAATAGATATTTCTACACATCAAAAAGGTTAAAAAAGACATAGTAATGATATCTCAGACTGGCAAATATCTGGAGAAACAGGATAATTGTTTCATTATTGGTAGAAATTTTAAGATGGTAAAACCACTCTGGAAAATAGTTTGGAAGTTTCTTGTAAAATTGCATGCACTTACCATATGACTCAATAATTGTGCACTTCTCACATAAACCTAAACACAAATGTTCACACAAATTTTATTTTTATTAGCACCAAACTAAAAACAAATGTTTTTCCACATGTCCATGGTAAATAAATTGTGTAAGTATAACACACCAATAAAAAAACAACAAACTACTAAAAATAAAAAAGAATAAACTACTGATGCACACAATGACTTGGATAAATCTGAAGGGAATTATACTGAGTAAAAAAAAAAAATCTCATCTGAAAAGATGACATATTATTTGGTTGAAATTTTATAGAACATTGTAAAATTAGAGAATAGATTAGCCATTGCCAGGGGGTTAGAGATGGGTAGGGATGTAAAAAGGTAGCATGAAGAAGATCCCCCTGTAGTGATGTAATAGTTATGTATCTTGATGTATCTTGATTACTATAGTGGGTGGTTACATGAATCTACACATGGATAAAAGTGCAAGAACACAGTGCACATATTCATGCACACATCAATGCATCTAAAATTGATGACATCTGCACAAGCTCTGTGGTGGTAACACTGAAAATTCCAGGCTCATTCCTATCCTTTAGTGGAAGGAAGCACAGAGATATCTGGTATGTTTAATCACTGGAAGAATCTAGAGCTAACAGACCTAACTGTGTTTGGGTGAGTAGGTGTCTGGTGTCTGTCATCATGATATTATAAGATGTTTAATTGACACTTTTTACTTAGTCACTTCTATAGGCAAAAACTTGAAGCAGGATTTTGTTAACAGCACTGTTAAATAAAATCTGTGGGGATCCATGGATTTAGAACAGGCACCTGTAATGGGCCCAGCAGTCCAAACCAGAATAGAGTTGAATCACAATACCTGAGCTTTGGTTAGTTGCAGGAGGAATTGTAGACAATTAACTAATTAAGCTGTAAGCAATTAATTAGTTAAGTTGTAACCCATTGACTGATTATTCAAGGTGTTGTTAAATTGTTTTCTAGGTCTCACTTCTGTTTTTCATCAATGCTATCAGATCACATTGTTGGTTAGAATTCTCATAACTTGCTCTAGTTTTAGGGGCTAGTAAAGAATCAGAACATACTCAAGAAACAATTTTTTTTTGTCTTGATTTACTCAAGTAAACTGCTAAATTTAGTTATAAGGAATTTTCTTTTGATAGTACTTTAATATGAAAAAAGTGTTAATTACCAAGTCTAAATCACAGAAAAGACCTAATTCCTTGAAGAAAGAAAATGAAATGCATCTCCTTTCTTACCCCAATAATGTATAGCACTACATTCTTGTAGAAAGAATACAATATGCATTTGGTCACTCGAAAATAGTTCCAAGTTCCATGAACCAACAGAAGCTTCTCCAAGTATCTAAACTGAAAAGAAACAATAGTCAACAAAACAAAAGTTCAAATGAAACTACCATTTAGTGTGAAAACCCACAAAGTATTATGTTCCCAGTATTTCATAATTTAGCAGTTCCCCCTTTAGCAAATGTAATGTAGAAGAGGAGAGAATGAACATTAGTCCTAAAACAATCTGACATGGCACTTGGCTATAATGACCTTTTTAAGAATTCTCTTGTTTCAACAGTAACAACAAAAATAAACCATTAAATATCATTTTTTTGTCCAGCAAATGGTGCTTTGTTATTAATAATAACAGGTATGGATTTTTCAAAATAATATTTGCTTTTTGTGCCTGGGTCTTAACTAAATACACGTCTAGGATCTTAATCATAAGAATGAGTCAGAATTATTTAATCAAAAAAAACATCATATTGGAAACAGGAAACTCAGATTCAATCACTGAGTGTTTTGTCTGATCAGGTTGAAGTAATAATGTCTTGTAGGAATCAGTTCCCTGTTTCCTATAATAAATAAAAAATATAAACAAAAAATGTAACAAGGACAAAAGGGCAGGAGTCTGGGACACTCCTGAATCTCCTCACCCCCATCTTCTTTTTGCTTTTCTTCCAGTGTAAGACGTACTGGATTTATTCATTGCAATGTAAGCTGCATACGGACATGAGTTAGCTTTCTATTGCTGTGACCAAATACCTGAGACAATCAACTTGTACAGAGAAAAGATCTGTTTTGCCTCATGGTTTTAGTGGTTTGGGGCCACAGTCAGTTGGCACCTTTTATTTGGGCCTGTGATGAGGCAGCATATCATGGTGAGAGTATGTGAAGATGGAAGTTGTTCACCACATGGTGGTCAGAAGGCAAAGACAAAGAAATGAAGGCATAGGGTTCCCAATATTCCCTTCAAGGACCTGTTCCCAAAGAACTGACTTTCTCCCACGAGGCCCCACTTCCTAGAGGCTTCACCCCTTCCCAATAGTGCCATAGGCTGGGGGCCAAACCTTTAACAAGCGGGCCTTTGGGAAACATTTCTAAACCTTAGGAGGGCAGGACTCATTGTTTACTTTGTTCATTGACCAATCCAGCATACTTAGCAACATACCCAGAATGTGGCAGGGTCTCAATAAACATGTTTTAAATGAATGTATATTCACGAGTTATTCTACAAAATGAGGCAATTCATGGTAATTTAGTTAAGTCCTTAATTTAAACAGTGACTTCAAAGTGACAGAAGTTGGTACATATACCAAAAAAAAAAAACACAACATTAACCTTTAAAACAAATATTAACAGTGGAACATGAAAGGGCAGGATAGGGAGGGAGATGTTTAATCATAAGATGCATAACTATACCAAAAATAAGTAAATTTGAAAAGAACATTTGAAACCCAGAACCAGATAATAAACTTGAGTCACTATACACAACATTTCTATTCCTATCAGTTTTTAGTTTTGCAATGATTTATTTCCAGGGGTGAAAAAAAAATTCTAAATCAAAGCTCTCTATTTATTAGGATAGTTTTAAAATAGTAAGACATTTGGGGAGGAAATAGCAAATAATGGATTCTCATCAGAGAGTTTTGAACGGAATATTATACTGATGTGCTCTGGGCAGGGGAAAGTTGTACCCAAGAGGTCATAAGGCAAACTGATGGTAGGTTGTTGACCTAACACTGAAACTCAGATAAGGGTAAAATGAAGATAGGGCAGAAATAGACAAATTTCCACCACAATACGGGGGGTAAGCATCATTCTGGGGGAAAGTAGTATCACACATTATGGTAGCACTATTCTTTCTAGCTCCAATATAAGTTGCTGTTGCTTAAAATAAAGTGGGAAAGCAAATTTATGTGACTTAAAGTGCTTCTATAAATCTGAAATAACTTTTTAATAGGGGCCAAAGCATGAATCAAACCAATACACTACATTAGGGACTGCTTGGTGTGTCAACTTTGGGGCATCCAGAAGGAGGAAAAGAAAGCCTAAAAAGTTGTACTGTCTGCCTAACCACAAATGCAGCTGTGATGAGGGAGTCCAGAACAAAGGTAAAAGAGGATTCAGATGGCAGGTGCTCGAGAGTGTAAAGTGCCCTGCATGAGGACAAATGCTGATCTCCTAGAACAAAAGCTCACAAAATCCTACCTCCCTTCTGGATTTTTCTTTAACTCCAAAGAGAACAACCTCATAATTTTAAATCCCATTAAGACTTTGGTTTTAAAAGGAAAGGCTGTAGTCTCTTTCTTAGACATACATAAGAAAATGGCAAACAACTATTCCTTTAAGACTCCAATGTAGCTGATCCCTGACAGTATTGTGCATTTATGGTGTTTAAAAATTCAAGGCTATATCATATATAATTGCTGAGACTATGAGAAGCATGTGTCTCAATGGTAGTTGGTGCTTAAGGAAAAGATATGAGGGAATTTGGTGCGACCATTTCCTGTCTATAGACAGATGCTATGATCATAAGCAAATAGCATGCTTCTCAACTCAGACCTCCTAACACACAGGAGCCACAGTTTACCTCTCTATACAACAGCACATTTAATCCATGCATATGTAGGTTAGAACTGATCTGATTCAAATATGGACCTCTAAGAATGTTTGCTGTACAGCTGGGGACATAGCTTGGTGGTAAAGTGTATGCTTCACTTATGCAAGGCCCTGGGTTTGATAACAAGCACCATATTTTTTTTTTTTTTTAAAAAAAAAAAAGGAGGAGAAGAGGAGAAAAGTATGATGTCACCATTTTAGCTTCAGGTATCTACTAACCTGTGAGTGGATTAAAAAATCATATAGCTTCTCAGAGAGAGGCTACAATAACAACTGCCCCAAATAAGGATAACCTACCCAGAGTCCTGTAGGTATTTCTAGGGAGATTTTCAAAGATTACATGAAGCTTCTGAATTCAGCAAGACTGAAAAGTGTTGCTGCTAATTGGTCGAATGTGATGAAAATATTGTAGTCATTAAAAGTCAATGTTAAATTATTAAATAAAAATTATATCCTTCAAAATTCAAAATACTAAAGTGTAAAAACAGGAAAATGTTTTTGTTAAGTAGTAAAGGATATTGTGTGGTGCTATCTCTATGATTCTGGTGAATGTTAGCCCATAGTTTTAATTGGTTCTATGCCTCTAGTCCCCATAATCGTGAGGTTGGCTGTTTCCATATGAAAACATCAATCAAGAAATGGCTATTGCTATGGTTTAGATGTTGTCTGATCTCCAAGGATCCATGTGTTGGAAGTTTTGTCCCCAGAGTAGCAATATTGGTACCTGGTGTGGGGCCTTCAAGATGTGGAGCCTAAGGGGAGATATGTAGGTGATTGGGGTCTTGCCCTCAGAAGAAATTAAAGCAACTGTCATGGGACCCTTTGGGAGCTCACTTGAGAGGCTTATTATAAAGGCCTGAGCTTGGCCTCAGCCAGGCTTCTTTGGCTTTTTGTACCAAGATGTAATCATGTATTCCCACATATGCTTCTACCATTGCTATCCACCATGTTGTTAGACAGCTAGAGGGTCCTCACTAGAAGTCAACCAATGTAGGCACCATGTCCTTGAATTTCCTAAACAGAGCTAAATAAACCTTTTTCTTCATAGTAGCCTGCCTTAGGTAATTTTTTATAGCAGCAAAAACTTGACACATACAGACATTAAAGGGAATTTCCTTTAACAAGATTGTGATTATTCTGCCTGGGGAAGTTGGAATATCACTTAGATGATACTGCTTTATAAATCAATAAAAGATAACAATGTTTTGGTGAGCAAACTTGCTTGTTCCCAGCTTCAGGGTCATTGGCCAAATAATGGCCACTTCACCCAGGAATTCAGCTATTGATCCCTATGTTAAAAAATACAGAATTATTTACAACTGGTCCCTATGTAAAAAATGCAGTTATACATCATGAGTATACACTGTTCTTAAATATCTACTTTTGGAAATAATTTGTCAGTTTCTTACAAAACAAAACATTTATAACACAATCCAGAAATCCCACTCCTTGATATTTACTCACAGGAATTGAAAACTTGTGCTCATCCATGCAAAAATTCACAAATGGATATTTATGGACACTTTAAGTCCAATGGCCAAAAGTTAAAATAAACCAAGATGAATTTTAGTAGGGGAATGGATAAACAAATTGGCAATCTAGAATATGAAATATTATTTGGTGCTAAAAATAAATAAGCTGTTTAATCATGAAAAGACATGGGGGAAATTACATGCATATCAAGTATAAGAAGTCAGTCAAAAAGGCTATATGCTGCATGATTCCAAATACATAACATTCTGGAAAACTATGGTAATAGAAAATGATCAGTAGTAGTCAGGAGGTAGATGGGTGGAAGAATAAACTGATAGAGCACAGAGGATTTTTAGGGAAACTACTCTGTATGATATTATAATGGTGAATACCTATCATTTTACATTTATTCAAATCCATAGAACATACAACATCAAGAGTGAACCATAATGTAAACTTTGGACTTTTGGTGATTAAGATACATGGATGTAGGATTACAGTTGTAACAGCTATACCACTTCAGGCGTGGGGTTGTTGACAGTGCATGGGAAATCTCTGTACCTTCTGCTCAGTTTTTCTGTGAATCCAAAGCTGCTTTAAACAATATTTTTTTAAAAAAACTGCCAATAAAAAAAGGAAATTAAGAGATTATATGTCTTTAATAAATCTTTGTCACAAGATACCACAAAGCAAAATACACATTTTGAGGAGACTGAGGATTTAGAGATTATATTAACAGGACTATAAATTCTTAGTGGCATTAGTTTGACCTATCTGCAGAGCTGATCAATGAAACTCCAAAGTGTATAAGGATAAAAACTTTAAGAACTCCATATGTGTGGTAATTTTCCTTACGAGGCAGCTTAGAGAGGTTAGGTACACCTCAGGGGCAGATGGAACTCATCAACATCTCCCATGACCAGCTGGTGTCCCACAGCACTGACCTGAGCAATGGAGTAATCTGAGTTGTTGGTGGCCTGCATGCCCTCATTCCCACTGATCCCCACTCCCACATGGGCCATCCGGATCATCCCCACATCGTTGGCACCATCCCCAACAGCAAGAGTGATGGCCTCTTCATGCTTCTTCACCAAGTCCACTATTTCAGCTTTCTGGAGGGGAGATAGCCTGAAAAGGAAGATAGACAGAACCACTTTTAAAGGTTGTGTTTAGGTTCATTTTACTTCACACTATTCTAAAAGTTTTTACAAAAAAAGTCAACGATAATCAGCACATAACTACATTTAAATGGAAGATACTAAGTTTTCCAATTCTTTTTTAAAATATTTTTTTAGTTATACATGGACACAGTATCTTTATTTCGTTTATTCATTTTTATGTGGTGCTGAGGATTGAACCCAGTGCCTCACACATGCGAGGCAGGCGCTCTGCCACTGAGCCACAACCCCAGCTTCAGTCAATAAAACCACATAAAGCTATGTTCCATGTGCAGGCATAAGTTTTCCAATTCTTTAATGAAACTTTTGTCATATACAAAAATGTTCCCATCACTTCCACCAATAAATAAATAAATAACATAGTAACTTCTTCAACATTGCAAAATAAATTCTTATAGTTTCCCAGTTTACATGTAGAGAGATCCCCCACTCACTCTTGTGTGACTCAAACCTGCATATTAATTTACATTAGCTACCTACATGAGAGAAAGACAGATATCTCCTATTTATGACACTATTTAAAAGTCTTTACCCTAAGTGTGGATATGAAGTAGCCTTTGAAAATCAAATTACACCCCTTTGAACTTGAATTCATTCAAGGAGATTTATATATATAAATTTATTTATTTATTTTAAATAGAGTCAAAGTTGGGCTCTGGTAACTAACAACAAACACAAGTGATGTAACAGCATGAAATCTTGTTTCCTTCTCATGCTATGTGAACAGCACAGATTAGAATATTATCATTGATTTTTTTTCCTGAGACAATCTACAAAAACAAATTTAATAATCCTAAATAATTTCAGGCTAGCAGGTCCTGTCTGTGCATGAAATATTTTCAAAGATTCAAAGGAAGAAGCAGCAAAATGCTTTTTTCCTATTTATCACTCATTGTTTCATTTACTCAATAATTTGACTTATAGCTCTATCAAAAAATGATGGCTACACAAAGATTTTATTTTTATTTTCTAGTAAGTGAATGACCTCACCATTCCTTTCTCTCAAAAAAAGCTCCTAAAAACTAATTTAAATTAAATTAGATGAGTTTATTAAAAACTAAGGAGATAGTTGGTTTCCTTGATTAGAATGCTGTTATGGTTTAGGTATGAGGTGACCCCCAAAGCTCAAGTGTGAGATAAGGCAAGAAAAATTAGAAGTGAAACCACTGGGTTGTGAGAGACTTAACCTAATCAGTACATTAATCCCCTGATAGGGATTAACTGGGTGTTAACTGTAGGTAGGTGGGGTACAGCTCAAGGAGGTGGGACACTGAGAGCATGCCTTTGGGGTTTATATTTTATTTGTTGTTGGGAGAACTCTCTCTCTGCTTCCTGGTGCCATGTTCTGGTCTGCTTTCCTCCGTGACACTCTTCTGCCATGATGTTCTCCCTCTCCTTGGACCCTGAGGACTCTATGGACTGAGATCTCCAAAATGTGAGCGCTGACAAACTCTTCCTTCTTTAAAATTGTTGTTAGGTCTTTCGTTCAGAATGGTGAAAAAGCTGACTAAAACAAATGTGTTAGAACTTTTGTTTCATAATCAAGAGAACATAATGAATTAAAATCACCACCTTGTGAAACAGAGTGGAAAAGAGTGAACATTTTCTTAAGTAGATGTTAGAAATCAGGTATGTGTTCCCACCAAGACACTGGTGCTTTTACTAGAAAACTTCCAATGTTAATAACTTTACCATCTGGTCGGACAACCACTTTCACACTCAGACTACCATATCTGTGAGAAATGCAAATGTATGTGCGTACGTAACACACACACACACACACACACAAACTTGTATCGATCCCAAATCTGACTTCATATTTTCAAACCTTAATTCCATTCCCTGGGCCAATCAGAGCTCTATAAATACAGTAGGAGAGTGATTGGGACCTTTAAGCCCTCTCTTCCTTCTGCTTAACATCAAGTTGCTATTAATTTCACGAGGTAGTTCTGAGTCTTTCATTAAAACTCCAAATTAGTCCTTACCAGATAAGGATAAAAATGGAATCTCACCCTTTTGGATTTTTACACCTACCTTACCAAATTTGTGAAAATAAAATCTAAAATGACATTTGCCTTAATATTAAGCTTCAGTCAATAAAATCACATAAAGCTATGTTCCATGTGCAGGCATGAAGCCATATCTCACAAGTTCTATGGTTGTACCAATATTGATGTCATTCCATCCATTAAATGGTCTTTGCATTCATGTCTGGCAAAGTTTGTCTTGTAATTTTGTTGGCTGAAACAGCACAAAATTCCCATAGTGGTCCCATTCAGGAAAACGGAAATAAGGATTGGGGGAATTTATGCAAGATAGTAAGGGCATAGATAAAAACAAACTCAGTTTTTCCTAATCTGTACTCAACACACAACACTGAATGCTTCTGAGCACTAATGAGCAGACCAAATGTGACTCTTCTGGTTTGGATGTGAGGTGTCCCCCAGAAGCTCATGTGTGAGATAATACAAGAAGGTTTGGAAGAGAATGATTGGGTCATAGCCTTAGTCTAATCAATGAATTAATCCCTGATGGGATTAACCGAATGGTAACTGGAGGCAGGAGGGGTGTGGCTGGAGGAGGTAGGAATTGGGGCCTGGCTTTGGGTTATATACTTTGTATCTAGCAAGTGGAGTCTCTCTTTCTTTGCTTTCTGATCACCATGTGAGCTGCTTCCCTCTGCCACACTCTTCCGCCATGATGTCCTGCCTCACCTTGAGCCCTTAGGAATGGAGCCTGCTATCTATGGATTGAGACCTCTAAAACTGTGAATACCAAATAAACTTTTCCTCCTCTACAGTTGTTCTGGTCGGATCTTTTAGTCACAGCAGTGAAATGGCTAACTAATACAGTGACCAAATGTGGCTGGGGGTATTTCTCCACACACCAAGCAACCAATCAGTTCTCCAGTGGACATCAACAGGGTGTCATCTAATACAATTCAATTCTGAAGCTATCATACTGGATGTAGTGTCAGATGCTACAGGTTAGGGGCTCAGTGCCCAAAACCACCCTCACCCCACTTCTAACAAATGTTCCACAACCTCCTCCACAGGTTTGACTCATTTGCTAGAGTGGCTTCAGAACTCAGGGAAGTTTTTACTAACACTTTTTTTGTTATTGCTGTTGTTGTTTATTGCAAAGGGTGCTGATGAAGAGATGCATGAAGAAAGGGTATGAAGCCTCCATGCTTTCTCCCACCCTCCAGGCACCTCTACATTTTGGCTATCTGGAAACTTTCTAAAGCTAGCACTTTGGATGCCTATAGGAAGCTACATTATGTTGCATAATTGACTATTGGCCATTGGTGATCAATTTAAACTTATGCCCCTTTTGCTCCCAAGAGGTGAGGGATAGGGTTGAAAAGTTCCAAATCTTTAATCCTGTTTTGGTCTTTCTTATGATCTCTTCCTGTCCTGAAGCTATCTAGAGTTTCCAACCACCAGACATCTTGTTAGCATGCAAAAGAAATTCTGTGACCTTTGTTATTATAGCAGATTTCTTCCAACTTATCATTCATTAATAAGCAATTTACATTTGAAAAATTTTTAACTGCTTTCCTGTAAATCTTAATCCTGACAATTAGAATTCAATACAGACTTTTGCATTTCTGTTTGAGAGTGCATTTTCCCAATAAGAAATGTTGTCTCTGAAGAAATTTACATTTTCAGTTCTATATTTTCTTCATATACTGTACTGTTAATACAGTAGTAAGTACAACAGAGAAAAAAATGAAGAATGAATATTCTTACCTACAACATAATACTGCTCTACATGAAAGGGCCAAATCTAGGAACTTCTTCTGAATTTCAAACCTTAAGGCATACTTCAATGTTTCACCATCAATAATTAGGGCCAAGTCGTTCTCTTTACCTAATAAGTGTCCAAGATCTCCACAGTTATGGTTAATTGCTTGTTGTGCTGCCTAAAACAGGAGGAAAGCATAACTTTGTATTTCTCATATAAACAAAAAGACATCTGAATCAAGATGGAGGATTGAGGTACATTTTTTTTTTTTAGTTGTTGTTGGGACACATGCCTTTATTTTATTTATTTTTATGTGGTGCTGAGGATAGAACCCAGCACCTCGCACGTGCTAGGCAAGTGCTCTACCACTGAGCCACAACCCCAGCCCCAGTGGTACATGTTTACTTCATTCTTTGCTTCAAAAAATTTCACTGATGGGGTGGGGATGTGGCTCCCTGGTGAGCATCTTCTCTGCGAGTATAAGGTACTAGGTTCAATCCCCAACAAGAAAAAGAAAAAAAAAATGAGATGAAAAAGTAAATAAATATCATAAAAAGATGCTTGATATAATTAACCATTAGGAAAATTCAAATTGAAAGCATAGCAGAGTACCACTTATACCTGCTTACATGGCTACAATCGAAAATAAATAATAGTCCTTAGCAGGAAAAATGAAGCAGGTGGCATCACTATACTAGACCTTAGACTATACTACAGAGCAATAGTAACAAAAACAGGATGGTATTGGCACCAAAACAGACTGGTAGACCAATGGTACAGAATAGAGGACACAGAGACTAACCCACAAAATTACAATTATCTTATATTAGACAAAGGTGCCAAAAACATACACTGAAGAAAGGATAGCATCTTCAACAAATGGTGCTGGGAAAAACTGTAAATCCATATGCAACAAAATGTGTGAGGCCTTGAGTTCCAACACCAGCACCACACACACACACACACACACACACACACACACGTGTGCACACACATGTGTTCACACACATGAAAGGTAGATGGATAGTTAAGTGTACAAAAATATTTATGGGTTGTATCTCCATTTTGTTTCTATGACTATTTAAAGTGAATGCCATAAAAGCACCATATTTAAAAGGTCATTATTTAATTATTTCTCTTAACTATAATTTGCAGTCATATTTAGTGATCTATGGAAAGTAGACACACAGTTTTCTATGATCTCTGCTTTCCTTAAACATATGAATAGACGAAATTCTAATTTCATCTAATTCATATGCCACATGGGAGAAAAGCCCAACTGATGTCAAGCACCAAAAACTGTAATGAAGTAACAGTTTTTTTCTCATCACTTATTTTTCTCAAAAAGTCTTCCTTATTCATCATGCAAATGAAGTAACTGTGTTTCCTATAATAAAAGAGTGGTTTATTAATAGTTGAATTACTAGGGCATTTATGTAAATAAGAAGGCCTAATAACATAGAATTCAATCACTTGAAAATTTTACTCCGCACCATGTAGGAACTATTACATGTAATATAATCCATATATTACTTTAAGCATTTCCACTTCTACTTTTTCCACACAGCTGACTGACTATTTCTTCATTGTTTTCAAGAGACTGCAAGTGTTCTGTCCGTGAAAAAGGATCTGACAAAACTGTTTTCCTTGACTTTAATAACTTGGCATGTTTCATTTGATTACTTAACTCAAAACTTGATGCAATTCTAATTATTATATTATCTTTAATCTAATTATCTTTAAACTAATTTTCTTTCATTCCTAAATTTTCTACTTGTTTCTCCCTACCAGTGCTTCTGCTGACAATGTTAATGAAAGTTAAGACAATTCTTCTAATACGGTTCATCTAGAATGTAGCTAACCTGAGCGATTTGCTGAAGTTAACTGTGCAAAATTCAGTGACATGTTTTAAAAGTGATAGAACTTTGCTAACTTGCAGCACATTATATGGAAAATTACATGTGTGCTTCCATTATGTAAAAAAAAATGTGTCCACCATTAAATAATGATTATTTAGAAATGAGTTTTGAAAATAAAAAGGTTTAAAGTTTATAGAAACTTAGAAAAATTTAGAGAGATAAAGTACCAGAGTCATTGTATGAAACACAATATTTAAGTAAAATAGTGCTTTCCAAAGTAAGATGCACCAGAGCAAGACTAGATTCTAGAAAATTCTATTTCATATAACTAATTGTTGTTACTTATGCAATGGAAACCAAGCTTTGTAAACATGAATTTAAACATGTTTTAGTTTCCTTTGGTGTGTATAATTTGGAGAAGTTAAAAACTACAATTCAGCCTTTATCTATTATTTAGTATTGGAGGGGGCTTTATAAATAATATAAGATTCCATTTCATAATATATTCTTAAGATCTTTCTAATATTATAAATTCTCCACACAAAATATATGCAAACTAAATTGGAAGATAAAGAAAAATGATAAAAGAGATATCACCACTATTCTATACTGTGAGGAGTTAAGATTTGAATTAAGTACTTCTTAAACATAATGAGATATTTCTTTGTAAATGTTTATGCTGAATATTGAGAGATAATAGGCAGTGAAACACACAAATTGAAAAGAACAATTAATGATTCTTTAAATATATATACACCTATCTAATTATCAACCAGATAAATATATAGAACATTTACAGGACTTTAGATGTTTCTGCATGTAAACACCTGCACCTAGAAGTGACCACCTGTCTGATTTCTGTGTCTCTTGTTTTGTCTTCTCTGTTTGTGATCTACATGTAAATCAAATAATTAGAATGTACTTTTGTGTTTGGATTTCTTCATTCAACATACCTTTTTACAGATTCATCTGGGCTGCTATATAATATATTGACAATAGTTCTTTTTAATTGCTTTATGGTATTCCATTATACCAATCTGTCCCCTATTGACAGACACTGATGTAGTTTGTAATCTGGTAAAATTGTTATACTTCAGTATTACAGCATCTGGAGCCCTACAATACAGCATTCACAATGTTCATGATTCAATCTCAAATTACTCAACGTAAGAAGAAACAGGAGAAGCTCATCCTGCACTATGGGAAAAGACAAGAAACAAATGCTAACTGTAAAATTAACATAGTTACCAGACACTTTTAAGAAGCAATCATAATTACGCTCATAGAGAATTAAAAAACTGGAAATCTCAGCAAAGAAATAGAAAATGTAAGCTTTACAACTAAAAAATAGCTGAGATAAAAATAATCAACAAATGGGCTTACTGGCAAAATGAGCCAGTGAACTTAAGGTAGACAAATAAGACTGTCCAATACAAATATGGAAAGACAAAAGATAGGAAAAGATGGAAAGAGAAACAGGAATCTATGAGAGGAAAAAAAATCCCATGACTTACCTACAGGTAATTGAAGTTCCAGAAAAAAAAAATTACTTGAAGAAACAATGACCAGAAATTTAGTGAAAACCATAGATTTAGTAATTTAATAAGCTTAGTGGAGTCCAAAAGAATAGTTAGGAAAAAAATGCCTAGGTATATCTCAAACTGGCTTAAACCAAACAACAAAGAGAAATATTTGAAAACAGAGAATAATACTCATTACATCAAGGGGAGTAACTACCAAAATGATGCAGACTTTCTTCAGAGATCATAGAAACCAGAAGACAACTGAACAATAAATTTAAAGAGATAAAGTAAAAATTCAAACAAGAATTCTGTACCCAGTGAAACTATTTTTTAAGGGTAAAGGAAAGTAAGGGTTGGCGTGTGTAGCTTAGTGGTAGACAGCTTGCCTATTATATCTAAGGCCCTGGGTTCAATCCCCAGCACTGCAAAACAAACAAACAAACAAACAAACAAACAACAACACATTTCTCAAGAGTGAATGAAAAGGCAGGTATTTCCAAATAAAGAAAAACTAAATATACTGTCAGCAGTCTACAAAAAATGCTAAATAAAATTCATCACCTGAGCCAAGTATGCTGTTGCACACCTATAATCCCAGCAGCTGGGGAGGCTGAGGCAGGAGGATCATAAGTTCAAAGCCAGCCTCAGCAATTTAGCAAGGCTCTAAGCAACTTTGTGAGACCTTGTGTCAAAAAAAAGGGGGTAGGGTGGGGTTGGAGGTATAGCTCAGTGGTAAAGTGTCCCTGGGTTAAAACCCCGATCAAAAAAAATAATAATTCATCACCTGAAAGGACATGATGCTAGGAAGCTTGGATCTTCAGGAATAAATGAAGAGCATCAGAAATCATAAATCTCTAAGTCAAGTATAATACACTACTTTATCTAATTTTTTTTCAAACATGTATAACTGCATAAGGCAAAAGTTGTGTTCATGATTTATGGGAATTATGACATTTAGATAAATAAAAATAAAACAATAACAAAAAGGTCAGTAAGCAATGTGCAATAAATTTATATGATTATATGCTTTCTACTTTTATATAAAGAGTTACTATATTAATTTTAACTATAACATGAAAAGGTAAGGATCTATGTTACAATCTCTAAAGCAGCCATGAAGAATAATAATGAAAAACTAAAAGTTAATAGATGGGTAAAAATAGAATTCTAAAAACTATTCAAATCAACTGCCTCTTCTCCCAAAAAACATCGGGAAGAGAAGAACAGAGAAAGAGGAAGAGGGAAGACAAACAGAAAACAAGTAATAACTTATTAGTACTAAATCTGATGCAATTAATAGTTACTCTAATAACAGGTTATCTATTATAAGTTAAGGGCAGTGACTGTCAGAACTTGAATCAAAAAAGTAATATCAAAGTTCATGTTTCCATAATCAGATACATTTAACGCATTATATCTCAGTGTTCTATATAGGGCACTTGTAAAAACTTAAATTGAGCAATAAGTTACCATAGGTGGTATATTTGTTGTTAATCTTAAGTTTGTTTGTTTGTTTTAGTTGTAGATGGACACAATACCTTTTATTTTATTTATTTATTTTTATGTGGTGCTGAGGATCAAACCCAGTGCCTCCTACATGCAAGGCAAACACTCTGCCACTGAGCCACAATCCCAGCTCTGCAAAACTTAAGTTTTTACAGATGTCCTATATATGGTATGCTGGAACATCATAAACAGAACACAAAAAAGATAAGGTAAAGGTAAATATACAGAAAAATATAAATAGTGCAAACAATAAGCATTATAAAGCTTGAGTAGGTTGATTCATATCAAATACAATAGGCCTATAGACAAAAAGCATTGCCTAAAACAAACAGGGATATATCATAAAAATAAAGGCCAATTTCTAAGGAAGATTTGACAATTATTATATATGTGACTAATAAAAACAAAATCCAATAAACTCTCAAGATGCATAAAGCAATAACTGGCATAATTTAAAATAGAAATATTAAATTCAAAAATCACAGAAAGAAGGTCAGGGGATGTAGCTAAGTTTTTTAAGGGTAAAAGGTTGAGCGCTTGCCTCGCTTGCATGAGGCACTGGGTTCGATCCTCAGTGCCATAGTAAATAAATAAATAAAATAAAGATATTGTACCCATCTACATTTAATTTAAAAAATTTTAAAAAACATCACAGAAAGATGAGCTTGGAGATGTAACTCTGTGGTAGAGTACCTTCTTAGCATGCATAAGGCCCTGATTTTAGTCCCCAGCGCTACGCGCGCGCACACACACACACACACACACACACACACACACAATCACGAAAAGAAATTTAAATGGTCTTCTCAAAAATTGAAAGAATGGCTAGAAAAACAAGCAGTAAGGACACAGTTAATTACAACAGTTCTCTCGACCACCTTGACATGATTGATATTTGTTGTACACAATGACTAGAAAATACACATTACATTCAAGTGTACATGTTATGTTCACTGAGACAGACAATATAATGGATTACTAAACAAATTTCAGTGAATTTCAAAGGACTAAAAGCAACCAGAGTATTTGACTTTTATCTGAAATGAAATAAAATTAAAAGAAAGACATCTAGGAAAAATGACAATTTTGTGGAAATTAATTATCACACTTTTTAATAAGGCATAAGTAAAGAAGAAATAATAATAGAAATTGAGAAATAGTTTGAAATGATGGTAATGAAATTACAACATATCAATATTGGTGCAATACAAACAAAGCAATATTTAGAGGAAAATGATAGATTTAATGTTTAAATTTTTAAAAAACAGATGAAAAACAATGACCTAAGATTCCATCTGGTGGAAGGCAGGATCCTAAAATTCTCACCTACAAATGTGCCCGTCCCGTATATAGTAATCCTCCCTTCTCCTTGATGGATATTTTCCAAGACCTCCCAGTGGATCTTTTGGTCTTTTCCAAGACCCCCAGTGGTTGGTTGAAACCATGGATAGAACCTAATCCCATATACTATGGTTTTCCTTATACATATATATCTATGATAAAATTAAATTTATAAATCAAGTACAGTAAAAATTAATAAAAATAACTAATAACAAAATAGAAAAATTATAATAATATACTATAAAAAACATGCAAACATTGTTTCTCTCTATCTCTCTCTCATCAGAAGAATAAATATCGATGTTTTTGAACCCTAATTTACTATGGATAACTGAAACCATGGAAAGAAAAACTGTGGATATAGGTGAGACTACTATAATGCATTCCCCTTGAGTTTGAGTGGGCCGAACCTAATCAGGTGGGCCCTTTTAAAAAGAGTTTAAAAGTAAAGAGGCAAGAAGTCAGACATTTGCAGCTACAGCATATGTCCTTTTGTTGCCTTTAAGAAAAGGAACTGCTTTGCTGTGAAGAAGGCCACGTGCAAAGACCTGAGAGTGAACTTGCTGACAACAGTCTCTGACTGGCAGCAAGAGGATGGGACCTCAGTCACATAGCTACCAGTAAATTCTGCCAACCAACTGAGACAGCCTAAAAGTAGATCTTTTCTTGAAACTCCAAATGAAGATGTAGGCTGCCTGACCAGTTGATTTCAGCCTTATTCTAGTAAGCTTTGCATCACTGTGACCAAAAGACCTGACAAGAAAATTTAGAGAATGGAAAGTTTATTTTGGCTCATGGTTTCAGAAATTCAGTCCATGGTTGGCTGACTCCATAGCTCTGGGTCTAAGGTGAGACAGAACATCATGGTGGAAGGGCATGGTGGAAGAAAGAAGCTCAGGACATGACAGCTAGAAAGGATAGAGAGAGAGAGAGAGAGAGAGAGAGAGAGCGCGCTCCTCTCACCAAAGACAAGACACTAATCTCAAAGGCACAACTGCAATGACTTACTTCCTCCAGCTATACACTACCTGATTAATTCATGTCAGTGGATTAATCCACTGATTATGTTATACCTCTCATAATTTAATCACTTCAGCTCTAAAAATTCTAGCATTTTCTTGCGCATGAACTTTTGGAGAACATCACATATCTAAACCATAAAAGCCTTGTGAGACACTTGGCAGTGGAACTAGATAAAATATGCCAAATTCCTCACTCATGAAAACTGTTAGATAATAAATTTAAGATGCCTTAAGCTGCTACATTAGTGTTATTATTTTTAATGCAGCAATAAAATACATAAACTGTTCTAAAAATAGAGTACATTAACATTAACTGTGCAAAATTCAATGACGTGAGTTAAAAGTTTGGTAACTTGCAGCACATTATATGGAAAATTAAATGTGTGCTTCCATTATGTAAAAAAAAAGTGTCCACCATTAAATAATGATTATTTAGAAATGAGCTTTGAAAATAAAAAGGTTTAAAGTTTATAGAAACTTAAGGAAAGTTTAGAGAGAGAAAGTACCAGAGTCATTGTATGAAACACAATATTTAAGTGAAATAGTGCTTTCCAAAGTAACATGCACCAGAGCAAGACTAGTGTTCTGTCATATAGCTCCTGAAACCCTTGGACTCTCCACAGTGCTAAGACTGTCTTTTTGTACACTAATGAGATACCTGGTGGCAGGAGGCAGGAAGGTAGCATTAGAGTGGGAGACGATCATCTGAAAGACCGAGGCATGATCAAGAGGGTTGGGACTTTCAGCACTGTCCTGACAACCTCTGGGGAGGGAAGAAAGGTTGATGGTTAAGTTGATGGCCAATGGCCAGTATTTAATCAAGCATATATATGATGAAATTTCCACAAATACCTCCAAAAATTTGATTTCAGAGAGCTTTCAGGTAGTTGGACATCTGAGAGTTCCCAGAGAGTGATGCTACTGGGAGAGGGCATGGAACATTAAACATTCCTAGACAGATAAAACTTCAAGTTAAGGGTCTTAGCTTCTGTTCCTATTGCGAGATATATCATGTTCAGCTTTTAACAAGGCATTTTAAAAGGCTAGGAAGAACACTCTCTGAGAGACAGAGCAAGCGGAAGAATCAGACTGAATTTAATGAACATTCTGAAAATATCAGGCAGTGAATTTCAAACAACTATAATTAATATGCTAATAACTAATCAAAAAAGTAGAAAACATAAAATAACATATGGGCAAAATAAGCAGAGAAAATTCTTTCTCTAAGAAAGAATAAGAAGGAAATGCTAGAAATTAAAAGACTCTGTAACAGAAATAAAGATTTTCTTTAACCAGCTCAACATTAAACAGGACACAGACAAGGAAAGAATTACTAAGTTTGCATATATGTCAATGGAAATCCCCAAAACTGAAATACAAAGAGGAAAAATAAATGTAAAGAGAGGTAAAGAAACAAATAAATATCCAAGAATTGTGAGATAATTTTTCAAAGTTGTAATACAGGTAATTGAAATAAAAGAGAACAGAAAACAGAAGAGAAGAAAAGTTTAAGTAGTAATAGTCAAGAATTTTCCAAAGTTAATGGCAGACCAAAACCATAGACCAAGAACTTCGGATAAATATCCAAAATATCCACACCTATTCTGTAACAAATCCACACTGCAGAGAACCAAAGATAAAAGAAAGTCTTGAAAGAAATTAGAAGGAAAAAAATCTTATCTAAGGAAAAACAAACATAAGAATTATAACAGACTTCTCATCAGAAGAGAGTAAAGTAAAGCATTTAAAGTATTGAATGAACAAGAATCACCAACCTAGAATTCTATATCTAGTGAAATTATCCTTAAAAATGAAATAGAAATCAAGATTTTCTCAAACAAAAACTGAAGGAATTTATCACCAGCATATTTGCAATATGAGAAATATTTTAAAAGTTTTTCTACAGAAAAGAAAAATTATGTCAGAAAATTCAGAGCTACATTTGTTTTAAAAACTGTTAGAGAAGGAATAAATGAAGTCTACTTAAAATTCTTCAAAAGTCAATTTAAGCACATTCTATATAAAAAAAATGTCTATCAGAAAATATCTGACTATAGAGATTTTAACTTTTAAGGGCAAAGATGTTTAATATTTCATTCCAAATTAATTTTATTCTTGCAATATAAATGTCATCGATTGACTCCAACTTCCAACAAAGATGGCTAGATACATGAATTTTTTTTTTTTTTATTTTTAAAATCAAGGATCTGAGTCTTGGATTTGTTGTGGCCTCAGGGTGGTGATAAAAGACCAGTCTCAAGCAAAGTAGGCCATATGTACTCAGCAGAAGGAAGAATAAGCAGGAATCAGAGATGACCTATAGCAAAAATACAGTAAGATTTGCAGATTCTTGGAAAAAAAATCTTGGGTAAAACCAGGACTTTCCAATGGAGCTCTTAGCTCTATTGTTAAAGGGAATGAAAGGCAATCTCAAGTAGATTTGGAGGAGGTAGATAAAACCCCTAGTAACAAATGGGTTGCATTCATATTACATATATATTTTTTAAAAAAAATCGCTTACCTCAAATGAATCTGCATTCAAATAAATACGAGGTGTGGTACTTGATATCAGTTTGCAGGAAAATGCTACAAAAACAGAGAAATAAAGATATATTTGAAGATCCAATGCCTTCAATGAGCATTGAAAACAAACCGTTTATATTCTTCCTTCATCATTCCCTCTGCTTCACGAGTATTTCAAAGCCTAATAATCTATCACAAAAACTGAGCAAGATGTTATAGAGGGGAAGGGAATTAAAATATTGGTTAATTTTAGTGTTAGCATTCAACTTACATAGAAATGATTTAGAAGATGAATACAACCAATAGCTAAATCTGCATTTAAAAATTTCTGTCATTTAAGTTAGTATTGTCTTTCTAGACCTGAGCTTAGGTTCATGCTTTATAATTCCAAGTCTGCAGAAATTAAATTCTGATTTTATCAACAGATTGCGGCTAAAAAGCCTCAGTGTGGCTAAAAGAAACAAACTTATACAATTCTTCCAATAGTGTTTTGTTGTTGTTGTTTGTTTGTTTTGTTTGTCTTGAAAAGAGGTTTATTTAGTTCATGGTTTTGGAGGCTGAAAGTCCAAGTTTAGGCAACCCTGTTTGGTTCAGTCTCTGGTGAGGATCTAACATTAAATGGTCCTTCCTGAGGCTGAACTTTTTTCTGTTTTGTTCTCATGATCCAGGCACAAGGAACTACGGTTCCTCAAATATGATAAGCCTTGTGCTCACTGTTCTCTGTGCCTGGAATGCTCTATGAGCCCTAAGATACATCAATAAACTTAAAAAAAAAACGATATTGAAGAGAGGAAGTAACATAGAAAACTTGAGGGGGAAAAATACCAACTGGATATTGTCACCAATAATTAAATGTTTATGAGTAATATATATGACATACCCAGCTATCCTACTCCACGGTATGTATCCAAAATATTAAAATCAACATACTACAGTGACATAGCCACATCAATGTTTATAGCAGCAAAATTCACAATAGCCAAGCTATGAAGCCAATCTACGTGCCCTTCAACAGATGAATGGATAAAGAAAATGCTATATATATTTATATTTTTTCAAGTATTACTCAGCCATAAAGAAGAATGACTTTATGGCATTTGCCAGTAAGTGGATAGAATTGGAGACTATCATGCTAAATGAAATAAAGCCATTCCCCAAAAGTCAAACGTCAAAAATGTTTTCTCTAATATGCAGAAGCTAATCCAAAATGGCTGGCAGGGTGAAGAAGAAGAAGAAGGAGGAGGAGGAGGAGGAGAAAGAGAAGGAGAAAGAGGAGGAGGAGGGGGAGAAGGAGGAAGAGGAGAAGGAAAAAAGAGAAGAAGAGGAGGAGGAGGAGGAAGAAGAGGGGAGGAGGAGGAGGAAGGAGGAGGAGGAGGAGGAATAGGAGAAAGGTCAGTGGAATAAACCAAGGAAGAGGAGGAGGAATGAGATAAGGAAAGACAGTGGAATTAATCGGACCTAACTTTCCTATGTGAATATCACCAGCACTTACATCTACAAGACACTAATTAAAAAACAACAACTAAAACTAAAATAGCACAAATTACCAGTAGAGAGAAAGGAAAAGGAGGAAGGAGGAGGGGAGGCAAAGAAAAAGTACTGAGGACTGAATTAGAACAAAATATAGTCCATGCTCTTATAATTATATCAAAATGAATAGTCCTAGAATGTACATAAAGTTTTTATAAAAATTTCTTTACATGTGTTACCTATGTTAACTGCAGTTTCTTGTTTATCTCCTGTCAAGACCCATATTTTTATGTTTGCTTTCAGTAGAGTTGATATAGTTTCTGGAACATTTGCTTGAAGACGATCTTCTATGGCTGTGGCTCCAAGCAGCAGAAATTCCTAAATGTTGAAAGAGATTTTTTTATTACTAATTAAATATTAAAATTTTTAAGATGGGGGTCTGGGGATGTGGCTCAAACAGTAGAGTGCTCGCCTGGCATGCGCGGGGCACTGGGTTTGATCCTCAACACCACATAGAAATAAAATAAAGATATTGTGTCCACCAAAAACTAAAAAATAAATATCTAAAAAAAATTTAAGATGGAAAAAGGGAAAAAATTGGGGCAAAATATATGCAGGCTAACAATTAATTAAGCCAAGTTCCAGACATTTTGGCCTACTTTTCCCATTGTTCTATTTAAGCACACCATGAGGCAGTGCAAAATAATGGTTAAGAACACAGGCTCTTGGATTTGTGTCTTAACTGTGTAAGTTACTATGTAAATGAGCATAAGAAAAATCACTAAACTTTCTGTGACTCAGTTTCCTCATACATAAGATGCAGACATGGGAGGAAATTCTATTATTCAAGGAATTTTTATGAGTTAACATTTGTAAAGATTGAAATAATGTCTAGTAGTTTATAAATAGATAATAACTATACCAATTATCTTAATTATTATTGCTTTAAGATAAATCTTTGGTACTAGAGATTGAACCCAGAGGCCCTTTACTGCTGAGCCACATCCCCAACCCATTTTATTTTTTATTATGAACCAGAGTCTCACTAAGTTCCTTAGGGCCTTGCTAATTTGCTGAGGTTGGCTTTGAATTTGTGATCCTCCTGCCTCAGCCTCCTGAATCACTGGGATTACAGGCGTGTGCCACCACACCTGGCTAAAATAAATTTTGATGTTCAGTCAGGTAAACTTCTTCTTTATACTATTATTCTCCAAAAATAATCTTGATAATTCTAAAGCTACTCTGATGTTTATATCAATTTTAGGACAAGCTGGTTAAGTTCTGTGAAAATCCTGTTGGAAGTTTAATGTATTCCTGGATTGCAAAGTTTCACCTGTATTATTCTAGGTTTTTCTCCATATTATGTATACTTACCTTTTTATTTTGGTGCTTTGTTTTGTCTTTAAGTAAAAACTTATCATTTTTTAAATAAGTTATTTCTCATTAAATGTTTTGGTTTAGTTTAAATTTTAATGATTTTTTAATATTTTTGCTCCTATTTGAATTATTTCCTTATCACTGGAGAGAGTCAGAGATTTGATGGCAGACAAAACACAGGAAATAGACCAGATAACCTAAGATAGTCTGAGGTATGTTTCTCAGAAGCCAGAGCAGTCTATGAGTTTAAGAGTATATAATATTGCTATCAGTAGCTAAAGTCAAATTAAGATATATGACAAGCATATTCTATGCTGATAATCAGATCTGAAATAATTTGATTGAAACATTCACATGTATAAACAATAAGCTGAAACTTTAACTTAGTCTTATTGACAAGTTGAATTTTATAAATGCTAAATACTCAAATTAATCCTACTAGACATCTATGTGTATTATTTTATTTTTGTGCCCTTTCTGCCACTATATTTTCACAATGTTTATATATTAAAACTTTGAATTTTAATGTAAAATGTCCAACAATTGGCAGGAGGTATTTTCAGAAATGATTTATTATTCCAGGTATAGAACATACATTTTAAAAGAATGCTTGAACTCTTTTCTTGATAAAACCACTTAACAAACTAGAAACAGGATGGAACTTCCTTAACCTTATAGCCACAGTTATCATCATACTTAATAGAGAAGAATTAAATGCTTTCCCCTTAAGATCATGAACAAAATGAGGATGTCTGCATGTCTATCCTCAAAAACTCTATTCACATCTTCTTAGAAGTTCTAGCCAAGACAATTAGATAAAAAATAAAGGAATCCAAAATGAATAGTTAGGAGATAACTATCTCTATTCACAGATGACTTACTCTATTTAGAAAACTGTGAAGAATCCTCTAGAAGAAGTAATCAAAACAGTGTGGTACTGGCATAAAAAAAGACATAGCTCAATGGAATGAAAGCAAGAGTACAAAAATAAACCTCTGAGACTATGAGCAACTGATTTCAATAAGGATGTCAAAACAATTCAACGTGCAAATAGTTTCCTCAAAAAATAATATTGGGAAACTGGATATCTACAAACAGAAAATAAAATTCAACTATTACCTTACACCACATGTAAAAATCAACTAAAATATACCAACTACGTAAAAATAAGAGCTTAAAATATAAAATTCTTAGAAGGAATATATAGAAATAATTTTTTTGATATTCGTCTAGAAAGAGTTTTCTTAGATGACACTATAACACAAGCAACACAATAAAAATCTCATCAAAATTTAATAGCTTCATCCATATCAAAGGACATCATCAAGAAAGTGAAAAGCTAAACAATTGTACAAAATATTTGAAAATTACATTTTGATAAAGGTCTTGAATTCATAACATATAAAGAACTCTTGCAACTCAACAATGAACACATATCTGAGAAAGAATTTGTAACTAAAATATACAAAGAACATTTCAAGCACAGTAATAAGAAAACAACACAATTTGAAAATAGGCAAAATACCTGAGTGGGCATCTCTCCAAAGAACACATAAGATGTTAAATAAGTATATAAAAATATGCTTAATATCATATCCCATTTGGGAGTTATAAATTTAAATGAGACACTGTTAAATACTATTACAATGGCTAAAATCCCAAATGCTGACAATACCAGATATTGACAAGCAATGGAGCAACAGAAACTTTCATTCATCGCTGATGAAATACAAAATGGTAAAGCCACTTTGGAAAAAAAATGTGGTGGATTCTTACAAGGCTAAATTCTCATCAAATAATCTAGAAACTATACTTCAGTTTTCACTCAAATGAATTGAAAACATATGTCCCTATAAAAATTTGCACTCAAATGTTTCCAGAGTTTTATTCATATTATCAAAACTTAGAAACTAATAAAAAATACTCCAACACCTGGAGACTAAATAATATGCTACTGAATGAACAATGGGTTGCAAAAGATATCAAGAAGGAGATTAAAAAATTCTTAGAGGTAAATGAGAACACTGATAATACATATCGAAATCTCTGGGACACTATGAAGGCAGTTCTAAGAGGAAACTTCATTGCATGGAGTTCATTCCTTCAAAAAAGAAAAGTCAATAAATAAATGATCTAAAATTACATCTCAAAGCCCTGAAAAAGAAGAACAAATGTACACCAAAAGCAGTAGGAGAGAGGAAATAATTAAAATCAGAGCTGAAATCAATGAAATTGAAATAAAAGAAACAATTGGAAAAGTTGACAAACAAAAAATTGGTTCTTTGAAAAAAATAAATGAAATTGACAAACCCTTAGCCATGCTAATGAAGAGAGAGAAAACTCAAATTACTAACATCTGTGATGAAAAAGAAAACATTATGACTGACATTACAGAAATACAGAAGATAATTAGAAATTATTTTGAAAATTTGTACTCCAATAAAAGAGAAAATATCAAAGGCATAGGCAAATTTCTAGAGGCATATGATATGCCCAAACTAAATCAGGATGATATACACGATTTAAACAGATCAATTTCAAGCAAGGAAATAGAGGACACCATCAGAAACCTACCAACCAAGAAAAGCACAGGACTGGATGTATACACAGCTGAGTTCTACAAGACCTTTAAAGGAGAATTAACACCAATACTTCTCCATCTATTTCATAAATAGAAAAAGAGGGAACACTTCCAAACACATTCTATGAGGTCAATATCACCCTGATTCCAAAACCAGACAAAGACACCTCAAAAAAAGAAAACTTCAGACCAATATCTCTAATGAGTATAGATGCAAAAATTTTCAATAAAATTCTGGCAAATCGAATACAAAAACATATCCAAAAGATGCACCATGATCAAGTAGACTTCATCTCAGGGATGCAAAATTGGTTCAACATACAGAAATCAATAAATGTAATTCATCACATCAATAGGCTCAAAGATAAAAATCATATGATCATCTCAGTATATGCTGAGAAAGCATTTGATAAAATACAGCATCCCTTCATGTTCAATACACTAGAAAAACTAGGGATATCAGGAACATACCTCAACACTGTAAAGGCTATCTATGCTAAGCCCCAGGCCAACATCATTCTAAATGGAGAAAAATTGAAAGCATTTCCTCTAAAAACTGGAACAAGATAGGGATGCCCTCTGTAACCACTTCTATTTATCATAGTTCTTGAAACTTTAGCCAGAGCAATCAGACAGACAAAAGAAATAAAGACATATGGATGGGAAAAGAAGAACTCAAATTATCACTATTTGCAGAAGATATGATTCTATATCTAGAAGACCCAAAACATTCCACCAAAAATTTCCTAGAACTAATAAATGAATACGGCAAAGTAGTTGGATATAAAATCAATACCCATAAATCAAAGGCATTTCTGTATCCTCAGAAAGAGAAATAGGAAAACCACCCCATTTACAATAGCCTTAAAAAAATAAAATAGAATACTTGGGAATAAACTTGAATAAAATTGTAATGCATTCCACTGTCATATATAAATAAAAATAAATAAAAATTAAAAATAAAGAATAGAAAAAGCAATCTTGAAATGCATCTTGAAAAATAACAGACTCAGAATAGCCAAAGCAATGCGTAGCAAGAAGAGTGAAGCAGGTGGCATCACAATACCAAACCTTAAACTATACTACAGGGCAATAGTAACAAAACCAGCATGGTATTGGCACCAAAATAGACCTATAGACCAGTGGTACAGAATAGAGGACACAGAGACTAACCCACATAACTACAGTTATCTTATATTGGACAAAAACGCACATTGGAGAAAAGATAGCCTCTTCAACAAATGGTGCTGGGAAAACTGGAAATACACATGTAACAAAATGAAACTAAACATCTCTCTCTCACCATGCCCAAAACTCAACTCAAAGTGGATCAAGGACCTAGGAGCTAAGCCAGAGACTTTGCACCTAATGGAATAAAAAATAGTCCCAAATCTTCATCATTTGATGAAGGCCCAAACTT